AGTTGAAATCTTTTGGGAATTGAAGTTTTCTGCTCTAAATCTGAAATTTTATTTTCCAACAAAAGTATATTCATGATTTGTTAAAAAACACTAACAAGCTAGCACGCAAACCAGATAACACTCTTATTGATCATATTTATAAATTAAGAATAATAGAGGCATTAGTAAATAAAGAAATATATTAAATATTAGTTGAGAGATTGATCTACCCATCCCACATGAGACCAATCATCACCTATCTAGTAAATGTTAGAAGTCAATTCATGCACAATCTGAAAGAAGTTCATCTACAAGCATTGTACAGATTACTGCAATACTTAAAAAGGTCACTAGAGTAAAGAATTATATTCAAGAAGAATAAGAAATTCTCCTAGAAACTTGTACTAATGTAGATTATATAAAGTCAAATGTAGAAAAGATCTACTACAAACTATTGTACCTTCCCTGAGGGCAATCTAGTTACCTTAACAAGTAAAAAGCAAAATGTAATTACAAGATCCAGTGTACAATCAGAATTCTGAGCAATGACACAAATAGGTATGTGAACTATTATGAAAAAAACAATTTTGGAAGACCTTAAAATCAAGTGGAGGAACCCCATGCACCCACGCTGTGATAACAAGTCAATCATAAATATTGCTCATGGTGCAACATAACCGAACCACACACACCATGATAGATAAAAATTTTATCAAAAAAAAAACTAGACAACGGTCTAATATGCAACCAATACATGTTTATTAATTCTCAACTGGCAAATGCATTAAGTAAAAACTTAGTAATACAACATTCCAAACTTTTATTGGCAAGTTGGGAATAAGCAACATCTACTCTCCAGTTTGATGAGTGTTAAAGAGAGAGTAAATTAAGTTAAAAGGGTATAAAAGTAAATTACACCTTTTGTAATTAATAATGATTAATTATCTATTTTCTTTTCCATCCTAAAAAACCTATATATATATAATTATAATATTTAATAAAATACACATCAAATCATTCTTCACACTTCTATGGTTGAAGATGATTGTAAAGGACTTGAAGATTCAGTAACATGGATATATGAAAATCTACTGTGATAAATTAATATTACTCACAATCTAGTACAACATGACATAACCAAGCACATTGAAGTAAACAGACACTTCATCAAAGAAAAATTGAATGATACATTGATATGCAATCTATACATGCTTACTACTTCGCAACTTGCTAATATATTAAAAGATTAAGAAATACTATGTTTTAGACAATCATTGTCAAGTTAGAAATGGATAATATTTGTTCACCGCCTTGAGGGGGAGTATTAAGAAGTTTAGGTTACATTTAGCTAAATAGTATATTAGTAACTGTTGACTAGAATATTTTATTATTTTATTGTTTAATAAGTTTATTATTTAATTAGTTAAGATGATGAATTTAGAGTTATACTAAAATAATAATCTCATTCAATTAGAATTTTAGTAAAATAAGAATTTTCTTATCAGTAATTTATAAATTTTATAAATATCCCAAGTGTAACAATATAGAGGTGAGAAAATAAAATTTATATTTTTTTCCAAAAATCAATAGTAATATACCCCAATATCTTTGTAATTAATATTTATTTTTTGTATTTGTACTATTCACTTGTATACATAAGGTCCTAATGCTCCATGAAATATACACATTCATTTCTTTCACAAGACCATCATTTGTCCACATATGAAAAATAATTATTAGCTCAGCAGCCATTAGATAGTGGAGGTCATATCTTGGGGTGGGGAGAACGACTTTATTTTGTGGACAGCGTATACTGTATCAATGCACTGTCACTTTGCCCGAATAACACTAGCTAAGAAAAAATTGATAGGACTCACTTGTTCAATCAAGTATCAAGCTAGGAAAGAAAATGCAATGGTTAATGCCCTATTATGGAAAATAGAGGACAAAGGGGAGTCAAGTGTCATCTTCATTCAACAACTAAGAGTTTTGGATGCAATCGAACAAGAATTTCAAATTCTGTAAATTTGCAATAGTTGTTTGACATGCATTGACATTTCTAAAGCTCTTATCACATGGGAGGTTTAAGATGACTTCCTAATTTCCAAAGTGGTGGGTAGATTGGTCATACATGGGACAAGTACTATTATAATACAAGTTTTAATTCTTTCCTAAACCACTCCAATTTGAGGTTGTATATAATCATTTGGTTCCTCAGCTACTCTTCCATTTTCTTGGCATCACTAGGGTTGAAGTTGTAGATCTTGTCATTAGGGACCATTTCTCATTTTAAAACAACATGAAAATGACTACTATAAGCTCAAAAACTTTGAAGGTTATGATTGTCAAATCGTGATTACTTTTTTGTACCACAGACCTTATTCTTCTCAAGCTACAAAAATATCAATAGTTTTTGTTACTTGCTAGAAGCAAGTAAAAGCTTGCCCTTAGTTTATGGATCTTATGCCAACCGAAAGAAAATTGGTTCCATACTCAAGGGAAGTTGTTGCCATGTCTACCAATTATACTTTCACACTTGAGGAAAAATGCATATATGGGAGAGGGGAGGGGGGGAGGGTGGAGAGTGTGGGAGTGATGTTGAATGATAGCAAGGAGGATTGCTAGTACCTTCCTTTTCAAGGCTGTTTTCTAGCAATAAAAAAAATAGAATCAAATTTTGGAGGCCATAAACAAATTTCATTTATTTTTTCCTAATTTCTCTTTCAACAATTTGATTTCATTTTTCTGATTTCCCTCTAGAAGATATGAATCTACCTCCCTGATTTCTTTAGGGTATGCCTAATGCAGCTGTTGAGCATCTTTCACATGCCTCGAGAAAACATAAAGTGGCCACCTACACTAGTAACTAGAACCAGAAGCTGTTATTTAACTTAACCAGAAGAAAGCTAAAGATTTATAAGAAACTGACACAAAAACTCATAGTATTAGCAGCGAAATACTCAACAGATGGTAATTGTCTTGGACAATTGTGATAATATATGAAATATAAACTTAAAAAATTTATAAAATACTAAATCAGTAAAGCAGTCAAAAGCAATAGAAAGATACTTGGGTTTGTTAGTCGCCTCCTGTTCCAAACTCAGTCCATCTTCAGATTTCAGCAAAGACTGCAATTCCTTCACTTTATTGTGGATCTGTGACAAATGTTCAAACAAATAGTTATAGTTATGCCAAAGATAAAATTGACAAAGTATAGATTACAACAAAAGCCTAATCACATAAAAGGAAACTTCTATTTAAGGACTCAGATTTACATTTCATCCTTAATAAGATATTTCTGAATGAACCATTAACATTGAACACCTAGCCTTTCACCTCCTTAACGTTAAGAAAATTGCAACTATGATAATACAATAACAAGTAATGGTATGGAAAATTATGGAATTTCTGTAACCCTCATTAATCCAAGAAGTTCTCAATCTCCGTCTCCAATTAATTTACTCCATCAAGCATAAGTTAGCAAGCTCCGCAACGGTGTTGCATCAGAATTCCTATTGCTAGAATTAAAACTCTCTCAGTGTCCAATATGTCCAAGTCGTCCAACTCCAGAGAAAGGCAATACTTCTCCCAACATCCCCAAAAGCTTCCTTGATCCATTATTTAATTTTGCCCTTCACAAACAACAACTAGCCCCTCTGAAACTAGAGAAACCAGATACCTGTATCTCGCCTCACCACTTCTTAACCAAGCCGATAAAGCTACAAACTTCTAGCTATTTGTTTTAAAAAATAAATGGACATGAATCCCATTTACTTCCCAGGAAAGTGCTTGAAGGTGATTCTTTTAAGAAGCTTCAATAGCAAACCCAAAACTTCTTATTCAAACAAGACACTGACAATCTGTCAATCTATGAGAGGCCTCTCCCTCATATTAGACCGTGTCCATCTACCCATTAAGATGAAGATCCATAAGATTGTCTGTCAAGAAAAGATTTAAACTCATTCAAACACTTGGCAATGATCCCAGAATGCTCTTGCCCATTAAGGACCATGTTGAAGTCACCCCATAGACAAGAGAAGAACCCAGCATGTTCTAGAATCCTCTAAATCACCCAATATAGCCCCTCATTTCAGAATCCTCACTTCTCCCATAGACCCTAGTAAAAAACGAATACAACCATCTGGACACAAAATCAAGGATTTACCTTTTTGGCAGTTCACAAACTGCAAAACCTGCTCATTTTACATCACCAAAATACCTCTTAAAGCACCAATTCCTGTAATGAAGACCCAAAAAATCCTCGAACTCTCCACAACCCATGAGAAAAGGAATCCAACATAGCTTCAACTCCTTTCCCAACAAACACAACATCAAAATTCCACTTGGAAAAGATACCTTCTACTACAGCTCATTTACCATCATTCACTCCCCTCACAGTCCAAAAATTTTTATTTGTAAATAATTACAACAAACTTCAGCATCTGAAAGTCTAGTTCCTATTTTCCCCAGTTTTGTACCCCTTATAATTGATCAAGCAATGCAATCTCATTAGCTTCTTCCTCCTGTCCTTTTCCATTCTCTTTGTTTCCTACTATCCTGAGTGTACCAGTGGCTCCTTTTCAAAAGACTTTCTAACATGTTGAGCATCATCACTTGGAAAAACTTGATAGCTTGCTCCTCATAGCCATCAGACCTAACATCTAATTATTTACGGGTTCTAGAAATATCTTTAATACCCAATCAGAAGCCACCAACTATCTATTATAGTAATTGGCTTCTTCAATTTTCACAGTCCCCTCCAGATTGCCCTACCTAAGTTTCCCGTGTCAATGGACCCAACCAACAGCATGTCTCCATCCAACATAGTTAACAAAAGAACTGCCAATCACCTAGCTTACCTCAAATGCAAACAGTCCAGTCAACACAGAAGCTCCTCTGCGAGTTAGGCTTTCCCTAAACATCGCCCAATTGACAATTTGCAACAAGGACCTTTGGCCTCAAAGCTCCTAAATAGTGGATGTTAGCCTCCAGAATTTAGAGAACAACCATCTGCTTCATAGGAAGATAGATGGCAGTTCTTTAATAGAAATATTGCTACTCGATTTGGATGCCTTTACCTACTGGCTTCTGTTTTTGTTTCATACTTCAACGGACTTGGCTTTCTCAACCCATGAGGCTTTGCGGCAAAAAAACGTACCCAATTGAGGTCTAGATTCATGTCAACTAAATTGTTCTCTTCTCCCTACTACAAAGATTTGAATTCAAAATACTCGGTCTAGACTTCCACTTCTTTGCATGACTTATTGCATTGATGAAGATCAAAATAATTGGTTTTCTCCATATACTGATTTTGAAAGTCAATGATCCTCAAGAACAAAGAAAAGATAACAACCAAGAGATCTAGCCACAAGGCACAATCGAGACTCTCCCACCTTTCTCATATTTGTTAAAAATGGTTGAATATGTATTTTATTGAATACCAGATCCCTATGTATACAGGTTTTCTTGAATGGAAAAGAAATAAATAAATTAATTACATATAGTGTATTTTACCCTAATACCTTTGAACCTATTACATATAATATACTCTTTAACAGTACTCATAAAAGAAAGTATATCTTTCGGTTATTCCTCCAGGTTAACATCCAAAGAGGCTTCCTCTCAACCAACAAAACTTTCTCTGTGATGAGAGGGACATGATGCACAAGAAGAGGTAGAACTCGCAAGTCCATAAAGAACTCACCACCTCACACTTTCTCTCTAGTGTGTCTTTTCTTTTCTTTTTTTTTCTTGACTTAGTATAGCAACCAACTCATTGCAGTACTGAATACGGAAAACAAGTTCCATAATGATTCCAGTAGTGATAGTTGCAAATATTACAAGTATGGACACATACTTCGCACCAAATACTTTGACAAACATAACCCTCCACAAAAATATATTAGGAAAGGTTATAAAGGATGCATAAGCATAATCTAAAAAGTAGTTTACATTTCATCAAGAGATTTGTGTTGTCATCATCATGAGATTTAATCAAGAAACTGGGGAGATTCAATCCTTGAAGAAGAGAGAGAGAGAGAGAAAGAGAGAGAGAGAATTGTCATTATCACAATTAAAACTTCAAACAAGATCCGTGCTACAGCACCTCCAAGCAGTTAACATACCTCGACAACTTCAAAAACTGAGATTCTCCCATCTCTTAAACAAATTAAAGAGCTGCCTTCCTGAAAGATCCCTAATTGAATTCATTGAATTCACACTTTAGCACCTTGCTGATGTAGTGCAAAAAAATAATTAAAAATGCCAAACATCTACACTATGCTGCAAGAGATATCAAGTTATTTTGAGCATGCAGACCTTCTTAAAAGAAAAATAAGTAATCATTAACTTCCAGAAAATACCAGCTCCATTGTTCAACAACGCACCACTTTTAGATAATAATCAAATTTAGTTATGTAATAAACTCTCATTTTCAAAAATTGAGCAACACCAAGATGTCAGTAATAAACCTAAAGCCAAAGAAGTAAATGCCATAGCTTCACAAACATCCATTGCTTCTCTATTGTTCCAAATGCAGCAACAATAACTACTTACTAGATTTTCTTTTGTTTTACTTTATTGTTCCAATCATGATTACAAAATCTTTTATTTTAAATTTATTGTCTAAGTTTAGGGGTCGGGATTAGGGAGAGTTTGTTACTCCTAATTGTAAGGTATGGTACTTGGATCCCATAATTGAAGGCGCTCGACTTTAATATGGAGTGTTTATGAGCTTCTACTCCCCAACCTTAGGAGTATCAGAATCACCCACCATCTCTTCGAGTTATGTTGCTACATTCACATTAGCAACAAGACTTTGAGGCATAGTTCTGCTAAGGTTGTGGCACAATATAGGTGAGGAAGACGGAAGTGTAATGTTTGCCCAAGACTAATTAAAGAGCACCAGTGCTAAAAGCCAGCCCACATGGGCCTTGGGAACAGCCTGCATACTTTGTCATGTGCTAAATTGCAAGGTATAGAACTTGGATCCCACACTAAAATCGTACAACTTTGGCATAAGATTAGTATGAGTCCAGGCTCTCCAACCTTAATAATTAGCTTTTGCACTGTGATTCTTCTAAACTGAAACCACAGTTACCAACTTACCTCACTAACACCATACAAAGTGGATAAATGGCTCAAGTAATTGGTTGATAGAGTATGAAGCAAGTAGGTGTCAGTCCAGCGTTACAGATATAATATGTTAACTAACCTCTTCTTACTTTTATATTTATCCACATTAAATATATGTATAGTACAAACTTAAGGCTTTACATATGTTCTAAATCTGATTTTGACATTTTTGTTATGTTTTGGTGGATTTACACTTCTTTACAAGTTCTGAATATGGGGAAGGCATGGAGAATACGAACGGGTTCGTGAAACAGATGCAGAAGAGGGGTCCATGCTACATGACTGCCCCACTCCACTCCAATGTAAGACCATAGCCAAGTCTCTCCTCATTTGATCACATTGGATAATAAAGAGATCGTGAATTCATTTTGAATGAAGAAATCAAATTGAAGAAAATCTCTTTAATATTTCCACATAATCTTGAAACCTAAAACACATAAGACGAAGAATCTGATGGTTTGGAAGATGAATGACGTCTCTAGAATGGAAGACAAGTTGGCAGATTGTAATCACAAATCTGGACCACAAGGGAATTCTATAATTGTTTGTTTATCACAATTGCAATCATCTGTCCTTGTAATGTCTTATGAGATAGAAGAGGAGACTTTCTAGACCTAAAACAGCTTGCGATTATAAACCACGACTTGAACATTTAAAACATGGACCAGAAGATCCAGTACTTAGCAGTGATACTAAGCTCTACTTTCTCCCACAGAGATATGCCAGTAAGAAGTCAGAGGCCTCAATATTTTTGTAGTCTTGCCAAGAGTAATATATGTCAAATACATGAAAGCACTCAGATGCTGAATCAGAACTGGTGTAAATTCTTCCTTTCTGTTCCATTGTCTATTATTCCGTTTGGAAATACTCCAGACATCAGTTCAGACAAAGAAAAGGAAATACATTCTCAGCAGGCTCTTACACTAACCAATAAAGAAAATACTTGGACAGATTATGTCACGAGTCTGGTCCATGGCTCGGATTTGGAAGAAAGAGAGAGAAAAGTGAGAAAGAATCAGTGAGATTTGAGAGAGGAAAAAAATTTGTGATTAAAATATTTTCAATGCTCATTAACATGTAATTACATTTTGTACATGGGTGTAAAATATTTTCGATGCTTTACTCACTAAAAGCAGACCTATTTATAGACTACAATAGCGAACATACCCACTACGTGCACTTTGGAGGTTGCAACGGCATTGAAAGGCCAATAAGACCATCGGATAAGGGTCCCTTTCGTCCATGTCTTCTATTTCCAAAATCCTAACCCTAGTTGCAGCTGTTACAATAAAAAGACCAATATACCCTTACATTTTTTTCCTATTTCACCCTTCGTTTCCTTACAATACTCTCCTCCCCTTAAGGATCAACCTTATTCTCAAGGTTGAGATTGGACTTTGATAACATGTAGAGCTATCACAATCTTCGACGTCTCATAAGCTTCTTTCACTAATTGCATATGTGGTTCGATATATATAGTAACTGCCAACAACTAGTCTTTCGCAATTGAGATCCATTGAGTTTTAACTATTTCTAGGTGAGGTTCAACCCATCCAAAACAAGAGACATATTTTCCCCATATCCAAATGAAATATCACAAAATTTCACCTCACCTATTGTACTTTCCAAGTCAGTGACAAGGATTATCAACCACCTTCAATTTAAACCTAGTCAAACCAAACAATCATTTAATAGCTGGCTCCCCTTGTTTCAATTCATTGTATGCTTTTCCCATATCCTGGATTTGCTCAATTAAAAAGATCAATGATGTAACAAAGGAAACCATGCTACAGGCACTGAAAGAACCACCGGATAAAATCAACGATCCAACACAAAAATATAAATAATACTCTAAAGTAGATTATTTGTATGATATAGGGGATAAGTGCCTTCATTTTCTTCTTCTTCAGTTGCTCAGATAGGACAGCATGGGCAAGCCTTTCAAACCTTGTACTCTCAGATAACTCTACAATGTTAGCTTTTAACCAAAAGAATGGCTGGAAGGACCTCATTCAGGTAGGAGGAGAGATCAGCAACGCTAAGATGTGTCTTCTAGGATATCTTGCATAGTCTTTCGCAGGGATATGCTATAAGAAGAGCCATACATAGCATCACCATGATTTAACCAATGAGAGAAGAGAACTGATAACCAACATTTGTGAAGCTATTGCTGACGACTGAAGCATACTAGGCAGAATGGTATTAAGAAGAGTGTAGATAGTGTCAAAAACATGAAATGCCTCAGCAGTGATCTGGTATGCAACATCGCCGAGAGAAACCCCACGTCGACCTTCAAAGAAACCCAATCTCTCTCTAAAACCTTCACAAAAATGTGTAGCCTGATCCTATGAGCCATATTTAGCACCACTTCCCACAAGAATGCCTGCTGCCAATAATCAGCAAGCAGCCTAACTAGAACTCCCAACAAGAACCTATCAGCATGAAGTTTGGTTAAATTCGTTTGAATATTTACATCCGACGTGAAAGACTCGATTCTAGGGATGATTTGAAAGAGAGAGAAAATTAAGACGAGGCTGCAGGGCCATCCAAATAGGATGGAGGTGCGTTCGGATAGGAGTTTGATTTTGGTGAAGGAATTGAGGGATTGGAAGGATGAGGAGAGAGGTTAAGAGAGTCCGGTGGAATTAATGGATTTGAGTGAGGAGAAAATGGGGATTTGCAATGAAGATGAAGTGATGAAGCGAAGGAATCTGGGTTTGAGGTGAAGAAAGAAAGGAGGAAGAAAATGACGGAGCAGAGCGGGAAAGATGAGGGGTATTTCTGATTTCGAATGGTTTATGCTAATGGCTGGCAATTCAATGATCCTCTAAATTGCTTTGTGGAGGGATAGAAGGGGATTCAATCCATCATAGAGGTAGTGGCCATATTGATGGAGAGCGAGCCGGGGATCATCAATGAGCCTAAAATCGAGGTCAAACCCGTGAGATTTGAGGCAATTGAAGATAATGAAGAGCGACAAATGGATAAAGAAATCGTTCAGGAGAACCAAGATGCGACCACCAAGTTTTCTTGTACTCAGTCCTGTTGAGTTACTCTTTGAATCAGAATGGTTATTGGATCTAATTATATCTTCCTCTTGATCATGTCCTGTGACATCTTCTCCACCAACTCCTACCTCATCTTCCATCTCATCAACCTTAGTTTCCTCTTCTGCTTCTTCTTCTTCTTCTTCAACAGTGAAACCCAAATTGGTTCGGTTCAGTAAAACCGTCCCGCTCAAACCGGATTCAATCTGATCCTATGTTTTTTCAACTGTTTCAGTTATTGAACCGGTTCCAAGGTTCTTTTTATCCAAACCCTAAATCTTTTTTTCTTCGTCATCGCACAGAGGCATGATCCCTTTCTGCCCAACAGCTGCAGCCATCGCTTATGCTGCCGAGCCCACAGTCTCTTGGCAAAAAATGCCACTCTAGCATCTCTATAATCAAATTCGCTGCTTCTGGTAAGCTTCCATCCAAATTTTGGTTAAAAGCAGATCGGCGACCTTCGTCGAAGGTCGACGACCACTGTTTCTGCAGGATCCGTCACCAATGGCTCCTCTTTTAAATCTCGTACGCTGCTTTGATACCACATTATCATGGTCTGATCCATGGATCGAATTTAGAAGAAAGAGAGAGAAAGCCAAGAAAGAGTCCGCAAGATTTGAGAGAGGAAATCATTTGTGATTACAATATTTCCGATGCTTTATACACTAAAATCATACCTATTTGTAGGCTACAATAGTTCGCATACCCACTAGGTGCATTTTGGAGGTTGCAACAGTCTTGAAAGGCCGGTAAGACGATCGGGTAAGGCCGATAAAATTAGACCTCTTTCATCCATGTTTTCTGCTTCCAAAACTCTAATCCTTATTGCAGCTGTTGCAATGAAAAATACCAATCTACACTTGCATTTTTTTTTTCTATTTCACCCTTTGGTTCCTTACAGATTACCATATTACTCCATGAAATGATTGTCGTGTTACAATTAGTTTTCAAAAAAAATTGTCATAATTTGATCCTTAAACTTATAAAATTGTTGCAAATCATGATCTTTATACAAATGCAATTATTTACAGTAGACAATAACAATTCTTTCTATTTTACTTATATTTTGTTTTCAATGGAGTTAAAAGTTATAACAACTAAAGATTTAATAAAGTTAATAGAAACAATCATTTTATTTTATTTATGCAATCCAAATGATAATAATAGACATTAAGGAAGAAAAAATCCTATAGTGACCATTTTTTGAATTTCCTTTGTACCTAGACAAATTATCCAAGCAATAAAAAGGACCTTTCGTAATTTATGTAAAAGATTTATCAAAAGATCATGTTTTAAAACAATTTGTAAGTTTAATGACTAAAATCTAAGAAAAAAGTACTAGAAATAAATTATAACATAGCTCATAGTTCAAGAACTATAATGGTAGTTTACCCAAAATAGAAGAAGTATCATTTTAATATTTCTCCAATAAGTTGCAAATTTTGTCTGTATCTTTATCTTGCCCTGAAAAAATAGTTCGTGCTTTTAATCTCTTATCCAACATATACTATGTCTCTTTTTCTTTGCTTTTCATTGTTAAGGTTAATGACTTGCATTTCTTTATAAAACTAGGCAGGAGGACAAAACAGGATGTAGAACAAAAGGAATATGTCGTTTAAGTCTTTTAAGTTTTATATTGTGTTTGTTTTGTGTTATCTATTTGTTTTTACTCCTAGGTTTGTGAAAATTTATTCAATCTATGTAATAAAGAATGTAGTAGATATGGCAAATCAGACTAGTACTAGTTTGTTCAATCCTTATGTAGATCTCTGACACAATTATATTCTTTAAAAGATCTTAACCATTAAGGAAGCAGTTATTATGATTCTGGTATATCAAACTACTTTGAATAAAGAATATATGAATATTTTCATAAAAGTTCTTTTGTTCTCTATTTCAAGGGATCCAACTGTTCTATCTAAACAAATCTTATCCCCATTCATAACAGGTTGTAAAGTGTAAATTTTAAGAGAAAAAAAAGAATTTTATTTCTCACCCTTTACGTTGTTAACCTAAAGTATTTATACAATTCATATCCTATTGATAGTAAAATTCTTATTCTACTAGACATCTTATAATATGAGATTATTATTCTCATAAAATTCTAATTATATAATACTAAATAATTAAATATGTTACTTAACACCTTCCCTCAAGTTGGTGTAGGGATATCACACATGCCCAACTTCCAGAGCAAGTTGCAAACTAAAACCAGATATGTCAGGCAGCGGTTCAACTTGGCTTGGCTTGACTTAAAACGGCTCAAAACAGCTTGGTCCAGCTCAAAATGACTTGGTTCCGGCTCAAAACGACTAGATCCGACTCAAAACAACTCGGCTCGGCTCGGCTCAAAAACGACTCAAAATCAATTCAAAAACAACTCGATCTTGGTTCAAAAAGGGCTCAAACTCACCTCTAAAACGGCTTGGACTCCACTAGAGTACCACACAATCTCTCACGCGCCGCCACGTCCACCACCAAAAACCACTACACGTCGCTACTAGAAACACCATGCGCCACCAAGAATTCACCGGGAATCAGCATAGAAGCTTGCACCTGCTCATATCCGGCACAGATCTAATGAAATTGCGTCGAAAACGTGTTGATTCTGCCTTCGCGTGAAGCAAGCTACCGCAGCAAGGTCTTCTTCTCTGGCACGCTCCATCGCGTGGTCTGTCTCCAGCTCTTATGGTTTCACACAGATGGCTGCGGTCTCTTCTTCTTCGGCCCTCTGGTTTCAAAAAATCGTCGGACAGATCTATCTTCCTCAACTCAACAGATCCAACGAAAAGCCCCCGCGCGAGTCACCTTCTCCGGTTCTGGTCGCGACGAAGCTCATCTCACCTTCTAAACCCGTGCACAGTTCGTCTCCTCCAACCGCGCGTACAAGCCGTCTTCCTTCTCGCGCGCGCAGATCTGCTTCTTCCTCTTCAGGCTGCGCCACCAAACAGCGTACCAGCTTCGTCTGGTTGCAGATATGTCAACAGCTGCTACCGCCGTCACTATTGCCTCTCTCTCTGATATGATATGTAATGAAGCCCCGACGTTGTTTAGGATGATGATAGTAGATCTGGATAAGTGGGTACCAACCCAGCATATTGTGCTATTTTAGGATTTGAAAAAAATTCTAAAATTAAAACTTTAAAATATATTTATTTGGCTTTGATACCATATACATTTTAGAAGAAAAAATAATTTTATTTCTTACTTTTTAAATTGTTATATTTAGAGTATTTATAAAATTCATATCCTACTGATAAGAAAATTTTTATTCTACTATATTTCTAATAATATGAAATTATTTTTCTCATAAAATCATAATTATATAATATTAAATAATTAAATAATAAATTTAAATAATAAAATATACTACTCAACAAGAACAAATCCCGATAAGAACACTAGTTCTTCTTCTAATTTCTCCTAGTGGGATTCCATAACAAGATCTAAATCTCATGGGCCACAGTAGTCATTTTCTTTAACTGGTTTTTACCAAAATCCATTAAACTTCAAGTCCTTTATTTGAATGCTACCTGCAGCATTGTCTGCATATCAGAAACAGGAACATCACATTCACAGCCTACAATGTGTTTGAATGTTTTTTAAAATATATCCGTTCGAAGAAGTTAGGTGTGCCCTTAGTAACCGAATTATGGATCACATGAAAGAATGCAAAAAGAAAGGGCAACAAAAATATCCAGGTCTAAGGGTAAGGGGATAATTTTATACCAACTTTTTTCTTAGCAAACACTCAACAAGTATAAAATCAGAGCCAATTTAGATATTTAACAATTTAACCTTTTTGAATGACGAATAAGTATCATTATACAGAAATAAAGGAACGCTGTCTGTACAAAAAATGAAGATTTACATTAGGTTTAGAATATAAATATGACCTCCGAAGTTAAACAATTGATACGTACCTCAATTTGCATAGTATCTGACTGATAAAACCACCATTTTGCAACCCAGGATATGGTTGATTTAAGGAAGCACTTGAAGGAGAGACACCATTATCTTTCTGCAATCCTGGATTAGTGTCAGAAGTTCTTGAGTGATATGATTCTGGATCAAGTGCCTCACAAATTAAATCCAACAATCGAAACTGATCGCCCCTTCCAGCTTCAAATAGGAACTGCAACCAATTATTTGAGGAAGAGAAAGTTCATTTCAAGAATACAAGTATCGCTAGCTAAAAATAGAGCATAACTGCAATGTAGAGCAAACCACATAATAGAGAGTATTAATACTCACAGAAGCAGTAGTTTGTTTCATAGGAAAAAGAAATTAACTTAAAAGAATAAATCAGGAAGACAACCTAAAGGAGGATAAACTATCCTCCAGAGAAAAGGAATATCCAAAATCAACAGAATTATGTGTCAATACAAGATCGGATCTGATCCCTCTGTAGCATAAAAGTTCTGAAAAAAACCGTGTATTTTGACCCGAAAGAGAAGATAAGCACATATTCCTATCCCAAATATCATTTGCAGAACAAGCATGCCAGTTGAATTCCGGTGTTACACTCTAACAGAAGCACCCAAAGACCAGCAAAAACAGTACCTCTGGAGAGCATGTAATGCTCCGCTATCCTCCCAAACAACATAATGATGCAGAAATGAAAATCTCTGAGTTTCCAGAATAAACCCAGCTTAAGCAAGGGGCAGATTTACATAAGAAATGCCAAAATCATTTCCTCTTATTAACAGTAGGATTATCTGAAGTACTTTTTATTTCACTCACAAAAAAGCACTGATGAAAACAAAATGAGAAAGATCAAAATGTAAACTTTTAAGCATAAATTCAGGGCAAGAAAGTAGGCCGTGTAACAGTTAAAACCATGCGTTCTATACCAGCATGAAAACCAAAAGGCGAAAAAAGGCCTCACCAGAACTGCAATACCCCAATAAATCTGCAGTCTCTTCAATTCTGACAAACCACGAGCTAGATCTTCACTAGTCCCTTTGGTCTTTTCATTCCTGGTTGCAAATTTTGCCACCAAAGTCAACATATCAACTTTCTCACTCAGCATTATTGATGAATCACAGAAATACCACTATAGTGAAAGGAACTTATCTGAAATACCTCTTAGAAGAAGGAAAATCAAAAGCACGCTTTAACATCATCTCTGCTACCAATCCATACTTCTCATCTAGTGTGACCTTGAAGGAAACCATCAATTTGACAAGAATAGTAAAAGATATGGTCTTATCAAAGGAAAAACACTAAACAAGTAAATGTTCTTGATAGTATAATATGAATCATATTAGAACAAGATTGTGTTTGTACACCTGCTGATGCATAAAGAACAAAGAAGAAACCCAATGGACATATCACCAATACTATCAAAATAAAAGTTGTTCAATTAATAGGTCAACTTAAATACAAATAATTAGCTAAATTTGGAAATTTAACCTGTCTGCTCTCTTCTAGAAGAAACTCTCCAAGTAAAAAACTTAGAGGTTCTGTGGATAAATGTTGAGCACATGCCAACTGAAAGATAATTGTTTAAACATAAATCAGCAGAGACTTAAGCATCCATATATGACATGTATAATGCGGTGTAATACCATAATTACAAATATCAGAGTGAAATAACATCTATTGAGGAAAGCACAAACCTTAAGAGCTCTGATAAAAGATGTCAAAGTTCCATCTTGGCTGACAAAGTAGTTTCTCATAAATAGGGCAACCTTGCAGCTAATTCTGAAACCACAAGAATGCTTAACAAGAACCGTCTCAACAACTGCATCCATTCTCTCAGCTGGGGTTCCTAAAGTGAACTTGTAAGGTGATAGACGCTGTAATGAACTTGCAGGAAGTATGTTTCTTAGAGCATCAAGTGTCGTAGCAACCCCCAATATTAAAATGGCAGGTATTTTGACTGCCCACTCACTGAAAGAGACAAAGGAAATTACTTGCAAGCAAAACTTGGATGTAATGAAATTATTATGTAATAAGACATGAAGTTTCAGATTTAGCATCTATAGAGAAGGGCAGAAAAGACCTATTTGGCGTAGTGCTGAGAATACATCAATTTCTAAATAAACAGTACTTCCCAAACACATGTAAGGTCAAGAAGCTCGCAAAGACCCTTACAATTCTGAAGATGGAAAATATGCCCTCATATTAGATTATACATTCTGATAACTGTTTGCTTGTTCATATTTTAGAACGGATGAAATTATAGATATGGCTAACATTCCTATAATCTCCAGAATTTGGAAAAATTACTGGCATCTTTTCATGGGATCAATGAATGCTTCTCCTCAAAGTCAGAATTGGCAATATGGAAACTCAGAAGAAAGTGTTTCTAACTGAATGAATTATAATCAAGTTCATTTGTTATGCAAGCAAGAACTGTCAGATGCCTGATTTAAGTCGAAAAATCATTGACAAAAAATTGATGCCCAAAATATCATTACAGTGTAGTTACGCCTGTTTATAAACATGGTCTCACTTCATCAATTATCAACCCATCCAAACTCATAGAACTATACTATAACTTGGACATGACTAAAAAGCCTAGACGCAAATATCAAATAGGAGAGAATATTAATTGGCAGGTTAAATCATTGTCAAAGGCCTCCCCACCTTCATTGTTAAAAGCAATTATCCATCCCTTTGACACCCGCTCTGCACATTTCAGATTGCTTTTACTATAATGATGATATCTGATTAGTTGTTCCTTGACAAACCTCCCTCAAATCCCCGTGACAACATCTGAGTTAACACACCATCCATCATGGTAAGGAGAAATGGTGAATGCAAGCCCCCTTGTCTAATACCTCTAGAGCCTGAATAACACTCCCGTGGCTTACCGTTAACAACAGCATAAGATATTGATGATAAAATATCTTTTAATCCATTATCTCCGTCTATCCAAAACCATTTCCTTTCCAACACTCTCTGCAAGAAACTCTAGTTCATCCTATCATAGACTTTCCAAATCTAGCTTCAATATTAGCCCTTTCTCCTCTGCTTTATGAATATGCTCCACTACAGGAGAGGCATTCAGAATTTGCAAAAAAACCAAACAAGCATGTGCATGTAGATTTAACGCAATCATGTGGTTCAGAACCTCAATTAGTCTGAAAGATAAAAGTTTAGCTATGATCTTATATATGCTTGTCATTGAACTTATAGAGCAATTATCAGATACCTTCTTGAATTTGTCTTTCTAAATATTAGGACAACGAAAGTTGAGTTTATGCTCTTCCTTGTGATCTCAGTAAGATAGAATTTCTCGACCACCTTCCTCAAGTCCATTCTAACAATGTCCCAAAATGTTTAGAAAAAAGCTATAGAAAATTCATCCAGTCCTGGTACTTTATAAGTAACAAAGGCCTAACCAGCTTCCCATACTTCCTCCTCTTGGAGTTGCCTATACAAGCAAATCCCTTTCTTGCTTCAAATAAAGCTTTATTTAGACCTTTCCATGAAAGGCTTACACTCTCCATCCTCATTATCTAACTCCCAAGAAATTTAGAGATCGTCCTCCCAGTAGCACCACTTTCCCGTTCTAGGACTCCAATCTACAGTTCCAACTTCTTAATGGCACTCCTCTCCTTCTTTACTACCCTGTGATGATATAGTCCCATAGTAGCATCCCCTTCCTTAGCTCTCTTACTCCTAACCTTCAGTCTCTAGCTCTGCAAGAGGTGCTCATCGGACCAAAACAAGACCAAACCAAGCCAACCCCAGCACCAAAAAAATATCCCCGAACAGAATGAAGATTGAACCAAATTGAATCCTTTTTTCAGAAAAAGTTTGTTTAATTTTTTAAAGATTAAAAACAAAACAGAGGCACTAACCTTTTTCCCAAGTATAGTCGGATTGAAGGGTGACATTAAGTGATTTGAGTCAAAATGGTGCCACAATTACTACTGGGAGAAAGATCAAGCTTGACAGAGAGCTGGTGTCGACAAACAACCATTGGGCCATTGGCGGTGCACAAGAAGGTTCACTATGAGTGTGTGATGATTGATGAATAACGAAGCTGGAAGCACTGGCGGGCCGTAGGCCACATAGACCATCTCTCACGTTGATGTCAACAATGGAGAAAGTCAAGCTTGGACCACTCAGTGAAAGGAAAGAGGAAGAAGCAAAGAGAGCATAGAACACAAAGGGTCAACAAGCCTCCACTCATCTCTAGCCGAGGAAATAAAGGGAAGGAAGGGTGAGATGTTACTGCCTGCTAGTTTTAGTTGGTTAGAATTTAGGAATTGGATCTGGAGTTTATGTGGCTCAGTGGGTTGGGCTCGCCGAATGGGAGCGGGGATGTGGGCAATGGACTAGAGCATGGAGGTGTACAGGCTAGGATAGGCCTGGGCAAATCACAAGGTGAGGGTTCGTTTTTTTATCTTAGAGTCGTAAGCTTTTTTTCTATAATTTTCAGTATTTCAGTCTTAATTGAGAATTAGACTAAGAAATGTGTAGAAAATGTAGAAAATAATTGTTATTTTAGAAGGAAAACAGTTGTTTATCTCCTTTATCCTTTCTAGTGTATTGTTGAAAGGAGAATAACAGAATTGGTGGTGTGTCACATACACCAATTCTGAATATTCCCTGACCCCACAAAATCTGGTTATGGTACAGAAAAGTTATTATCCATTTGTGTATAAATATGCTCCTTTGGAGCAGAAAATAGAGGAAAAAATTCTCTCAAAATAGCTTCATAATTTCTTTATAGTATCAGAGCTTCTTCAGTTCTGATTCCGCATTCGACTACCCCTATTCCAGCATAATACAACAAGTGTTATGGCTTCTGGAGATACATTTTCCTCATCTTCACTTGAGGTATCTTCAGGACCTCTCTTTTCTTCAGCAGTCATGCACGGCCTCAGAGAGCAAGCCTTTCCATAAATTACGGGCCACAAGCTGACTGAAAACAACTATCTACAGTGATCCTCTTTTGTGCTGCTTTTCATCCGGTGCAAGGATAAAGAGGAATATATCACCAGAGAAGCACCACCACCACTCGCCACTGATTCAAACGCGAAGACATGGAAAATGGAGAACAGCCTCGTCATGTCTTGGCTTGCCACCTCAATGACGTCGGAAATATGAGAAAATTTCCTCATATACAAAATTGCTCACGACATTTGAACTTCTGCCAAGGAATTTTATTCCTCCAAAGACAATACCACAGCTGTGTTTGAAGTGGAAATAGCCCTCCACGACCTCCACCAGGGCGACTCCACCGTGACACAATATTACAATATTCTTATGCGAAGCTGGCAACGGCTTGACGCGTTTGAAGAGGTGAAATGGGTCTCCCCTAAAGATGCCAGAACCTACCAGAACTTTGTTAAACAAAAGAGGATGTTTAAATTTCTGCGATGTCTAAATCCCTACCTTGACAATGTAAAAGGACACATTTTGGGTCAAAAGCCTCTGGCCAGCATTCGCGAAGCCTTCTCAGAAGTCAGAAGAGAGGAGAGCCGGGAGAAATTTATGATGGGTGAGGGCCGTGTTGTAGCAAGGTCATCTGAGAATGTGTCGGCTCTAATGACACATTCCGAGAGTTGCGAGAAAAAGGGCAGATCATTTTGTGCTTACTGCAAAAAGCCCGGCCACGTACGCGACCGTTGCTGGTGACTTCATGGCAAGCCAGCCGACCATGGTCCTCTGAAATCCAAAAGCTCCACAGAATCACGAAGTAACGCGGGTGTAGTCGTATCAACAAATGAAGAAAGGTCTGAGTCTGCCTCAAATTCTGGAAATGACCATTTTACCCCAGGGCAACTTGATATTCTCCAAAAGACAATTCAAAAATTGTTGTTCCAAAGTTCAGCTAATATAACAGTCACTCAAAAAGGTAATAATCCTCCGGTACTCTGTTTGACAGCATGTTCTACAGGTGACCAAGCATGGATAGTTGATTCCGGTGCAACCGACCACATGACTAGTAATGTTTCTCTGTTTAAAGATTACCATCCTTTCACTGAGTATTTCACCATTAGGGTTGCGGATGGAACTGTATCTAGAGTGGTTGCTATTGGCTCAGTTGTTGTGTCACCCTCATTTGTTCTGGAATCGGTTTTCTTTGTTACAAATTTAGCATATAATTTACTATCAGTTCGGAAACTGACTACTGATCTCAACTATATTGCTAAATTTAGTTCAATTTTGTGTGAATTTCAGGACTCGAACTCGAGGAAGATGATTGGCAGTGCTAGAGTGCATACCGGACTCTACCTCTTTTGTGTTGAACCTTTTAATAGACAAGCTCCAAATGTAGTATGTATTGGTTCTATTTCTGTTAGTAATACTTGTGACCATGAAATCATGTCATGACATTCCCGCTTGGGACATCCAAACTTTCTGTATTTTAAGAAAATGTTTCCGATATTGTTCACTAATAAAGACCCTTTATTATATCGATGTGAAATCTATCAACTTTCTAAGCATGTTCGGAATATTTTTTCTAGTCTCAAGTATACATCATCTGAATCATTTTTCTTAATTCACAGTGATGTTTGGGAACCTTCTCGACTCACTGACATATCTGAAAATAAATGGTTTGTATCCTTCATTGATGATCACAAAAGGATCACTTGGGTATTCCTTATAAAAGAAAAGTCAGAAGTAAGAGCCATATTTCAAAAATTACACGAAATGATCAAAACCCAATTTGGCATAACAATACAAGTGTTAAGATCTAACAATATTTGTGAGTACTTTACATCAACCCTTAATAGTTATTTTGCTGAAAATGATATAATTCATCAGAGTTCATGCGTCTATTCCCCTCAACAGAATGGTGTTGGTGGAAAAAAAAAATAGACACATTCTGAAAGTCAGCAGGTCCATTATGTTTGCTATGAATGTACCAAAACATTTTTCGGGGGAAGCCTTACTCACAGCCACTTACTTGATAAACAGAATGTTTTCCCGAGTCCTCAAGTACCAAACCCCATTTAATCTTCTCTCAGAATCCTTTCCACATTCCCGTATCCTAAATTCCCTACCACTAAAGGTCTTTGACTGCTCCGCATATGTTCATGTCCACTCACATCTTCGGGGTAAACTTGATTCTAGAGCCATTAACTGCATTTTTGTGGGTTATTCTCCTCATCAAAAAGGATACAAATACTTCTTTCCATATACTCGTTGGTTCTATCATACCATGGATGTAACCTTTTCTTGAAGATAAACCATTTTATCCCAAAAGTGACATTCAGGAGGAGAAACGTACTTAGAAATGTCATATTTGGGAAGCTACCATTTTTTCACCACTTATCCACACACACCAGATATCACCCACACAAAATGAACCCAAACCAGAAAGCACATTACCTACAACAAAGGAGTTACGTGTCTACACTAGAAGGAACAACGCCCAGAAAGGTAGTGTTCCAGCAGGGACTAAGCTCTACCATGACTCGACTCCGCCTACGACCGTCTTGGACCCGACTGATAAGACTATTACTACTGATAATGATTTACCTATTACCTTGAGAAAAGGAACCAGATTCTGTACTAACCACCCCATACAAGATTATTTGTCACTTGGTAATCTGTCTACAAAATATCATGCTTTTGTAAGCAAACTAAATGAGAGCTCACCTGAGCCCAAAACAGTTCATGAGACACTCAGAATTCCAGAATGGCGAGCAGCTATCCAGAAAGAAATGAGAGCTCTTGAAAAGAATGGGACATGGGAATTGACAGAGCTGTCTCTTGACAAGCGCCAGGTAAGATATAAAAGGGTTTTCACAACTAAATATAATCATAATGGCAGTATAGGCAGACACAAAGCCCATCTGGAGGCAAAGGGGTTCACACAATCGTATGGACTAAACTATCAAGAGACTTTCGCTCCTGTAGCCAAACACAACACAATACGGATCTTGTTTTCTCTTGCAGTAAATCTAGACTGGCCCTTGTTCCAATTAGATGTGAAGAATATTTTCCTTAACGGAGACTTGGAAGAGGAAGTGTACATGGACATCCCTCTGGGTTTTGAGACAAGCGACAACTCTCATAAGGTGTACAGACTCAGAAAGACACTCTATGAACTCAAGCAATCTTCAAGGGCATGATTTGAAAGATTCACAAGAGCTGTCAAACAAGTGGGATATAAGCAGTATCAATCAGATCACACTTTATTTGTCAAACACTGCGACTCGGGTAAGAAGTTTATCTTAATAATTTATATTGACGATATTATAATTACAGGGGACAATGGTGAAGAAATTCAGAATTAAAAGAGTTTTTGGCCAAAGAATATAAAAGACTTAGAATAC